TATATATATGGCAGTACCACAAGCATAGTGCTTCTTTTGGGTTGCATAGAAGCAGTGCTCCGTCATTAGCTATCAGGCTGATCCGCCTAGCTAACCTCAGTATAGTTAGGCGTACATCTCGACTGCTCCTGTTTAGGCTTGGGCAGTCCTCGTGTCTCGTTCGAGTGACATGGTAGATAGGCGTCGAAGGGGCGTTAAAGCTAAACGATTACAATCGCAATTAGACTGACCCAGTATTCCCTTGAGGGCCCAGTCGCGCCCTCAATGGCGCTCATGCATCCAAGCTATTGCCTTCAATGCATAGTTCCCTTCCCTATCCCCCCACTTGACAGTGCTGTATTTACGCACTAATTTACCAGGTCCCGCCTCCAATACGCAGCTACCTACCCAACTTCCCCAAATCTTGGGTGAACGAAACCATGGAAGCTACAACCACTGCACGACAAATTCGCGGCTATTACAGCCGGTAATGATGATGATGTTCTCTTGAATTAGTTGAAACGGGAGCAAGCAGTCGGGGAGGTTTGTTACGCTCGCTTTCGCAGTGTCCACTGTTTTTCTTTTCTCACGACATTGCACAAATATTCAGAGAATACTTGTGTTTGTATTTGCAAAGGGGATCAAGTGGTGGTTTTTGGGCTGCCGCTCAGATATAAGTAGGGGAGGATTAATCAAGTGGAAAATGTTTGGGACCAATTGGGTAGTCATCGTCTCAGCGAAGCTAATTAAAACAATAAGTTCGCCAATTGTTTACCAAGTCTCTCTGAATAAGGGAGGATTGAGTTTCAACTATTGAATGGTATGGTATACCACGTTCATGGTACTTGAAAGCAGTTCCCACAGAAATAAACTATGGTTTATTCATAAGTAGTATACCCTGTTGTACATACACCAGTGAGGCCTATATTTCGTCACAAAGAGATTGTGCCTTACCGTGGTGTGGCGGTTTGTGTACCTCTGCGACCCAGTGAGTTATACTGAGGTTGCGGCACTCGCAGAGCCTTATACCAGGTTGGTCAAAGTTCGGAGGTCCTTTAGGTTGGGAATCGGTACATGCGTGACAAAATGCACTTGTAGTTCCCGTCAAAGAGCGCTGCCTCGCGGTCAGGCTTTTGAGTCAAAAGCCTTGGGTGAGTGCCTTAATCGTCCTCATGTGGGTACTCTGGCAATATATCAGCCCACGTACAAACATGAATTGCACGTACACAAATAAACTCACTGCACATCGGCCGTCGTGTGGTGCTATCAACTTGCATACAACAGGGCGGGTAAGCTTAAACAGGCTAGTGCTGACGCCTATCTTCTTTCTCTTTCACGTACTTTTTCACGCCGTCCTCCATCTCAATGACAACTCTCTTATTGTGGGCCCATAAGTTAGAACCAATGACTTCGTTCTATATCGTTTTGTAAGCAAGATCTTCGTCCCATTCGGCAACGACATCCCTAGACATCTCGATGCCCAGTTCATCTGGCGATCTTCAGTGTCTGCACTCCAACGCAAGCAGGACAACAAACTGCTCTTGCATCTCACACTGGACGCGCTTGGCATTGATGTGTGCTGTTTCTCATAGTTGAGGATTCAGGATGCAAGCACAGTGATTGAGCTAACTGCTCCGTCAGTCTCCACTCGCTTCCGGTTAAGTCACCGGGCGGAAGTATCCTTGCTTGACTGGATCCTTGTTAATAGTCGCCTCCGTACAGTTCGTCTGGCGATGTCAGTGAAGGAGTCTCACAAGCGAGAAGCTGACAGCTGACTGTGTCGTGTCCGCCTACACCCCAACTGACTGTGGCTCCGACACCGTCAGAGACAAGTTTTTCGGCCCCCTGAATGATCTGTTGTGGCGAGCTAAAAGCTCAGATATCGTGGTGGTTGCCTGGGATCAGAAGGGAGTGACTATTTGGAATAAAGAGGGGCGACTCGACCGTTGGGCCGAATAATTCGAACAACAGTTATCGTGGCCACCAGCTGCTACTCATCTGGAGCCTAAAGTTAACGTGGACCCTTAGATGGTTAACGTAGAACCCTCTACTGCCTTGGAGGTTTATGACTGCATGTATATTGTCTCAAGCGCTGCCGAGCCTCTGGTCCGAATGACCTCCTACCCGCATTGCTTAAATGTGGGAGTGAAGTCCGCAGTCAGTGCTTGTCTGATCTGTTTGCATGCACTTGGGAAAAGGAGTCTGTCCCAGACAACTGGGGAGAGTCGGTGATGGTGCCCATTTAAAAAAAAACTGGCTCACTGAGTGTGGTAACAATAGGGGGATCAGCTTGACCCGGGTCGTAACGAGACTGTTGACGTCACTTGTGCTTGGTCGCCTTATAGTGGCTCGTGAAACACTGACTCGAGAGCAGCAAGTGGGATTCCGACATGGTAGGGGCTGTGA